TGGTGGCATCTGACTCAGATGATGAAAATGAACATGCATCGGTCCACACTGCTTTGGATCGTTACCGAGCAGAACTCATCATCACCATGGACACATATCCTCTGGAATGGTGGTTGAAGCGTCAAGGGACATATGAATCTTTAGCTCATCTGGCATGTAAATATCTTGTGATGCCGGCTACAACAGTGTCATGCAAACACCTGTTCTCACTTTCAGGTGACATTGTAAACAAGAAGCAGGCAGCATTATATTCTGCAAATGTAAACAAACTTGTTTGAGCGATTGGCTGAACAAGAAATAGGATTGAGTGGACTTGTAGCCTCTAAAGTTTTACATTGTTTTATTTTTGAATGCAGGTTTTTTTTGTACATATTCTATATTTGTAAGTTGCACTTTCATGATAAAGAGATTGCACTACAGTTCTTGTACTAGGTGAACTGAAAAATACTATTTCTTTTGTTTTTTACAGTGCAAATATTTGTAATCAAAAATAAATATAAAGTGAGAACTGTACACTTTGTATTGTGTTGTAATTGAAATCAATATATTTGAAAATGTAGAAAACATCCCAAAATATTTACATAAATTGTATTCTATTAATGTCTAACAGCACGATTAATCACGTTATTAATTTTTTTAATTGCATGATTAATTACACGCAATTAAAAAAATTGTAATCACTAGACAGTCCTAGTATAAATAAAAAGGTAACATTCTCAAACAGCTGCCAGGAAAGATCTAGTTATTACATAGTCCTACCTTGAGTGCAGGGGACTGGATTAGATGACCTCTTGAGGTACCTTCCAGTCCTACACTTCTATGATTTCTCCTGGCTTTTATTTTGTTTTTACACTCTATACACTTGCCTAAGTCTCCATTTATCTTAACTGATTTTGTGCAAATATTCAGTACTTTTTAAATTAATATAATACATACCATATATCTAAATTTACAAATAAGCTCTCTCAGACAAAATCCCACATTACCTGGGTAATGTTATTGTTAATCAACCATTTTCATACAATAGCAGGAAACACTGAAAGAGGTCTTCCTCTGCTCCTGAGATTTAACTTATTCTTGTCATTTTTAAATATAAATTAAAACTGATTTTTAGAACAGATTTGTTTTGTTTCTAGGATGTCATTCTCTTGGTTACTAATCTTACTAAGGAAGAGGGGAGAATACAAATGGTATTGTCCTTTAAAAGCGCACAGTCAAGGCTGAAAGTTAGCAAGAAGCCAGATTGTGGGGACTGTCATTAAGAGACAGAACTTTTCACTTCTAGGTTCCTGGCACTCGCAGCATACATCACCAAGATATAAAGTTGATTTCCCTGAGTCTTACATTTATTTATAGCTGCATTCTTTGACTCATATGATCTCAAACACTTTCAATCTGCCGGCTATATCATTCCTAAATTACAAACTATGATCCATGCTCTTTCAATTCCTAAAAGTTCTGTCACTTGACCAAAACATTCTCATCTTCCCAAGATATTTATTTCTTTATAGATTTCTGAAATGTATCCATCAAACATTGTCTGGGCTCATTTTGAGAATTTTAAAACTAAACACACACTATTCAGTACAATGTTAGCATTAGAACATATGTTCAAGTGGGGCCTAATCCAAAGTCCACTTAATGGAAACATTCCCATCAATTTAATTGGGTTTTGAATGATCAAGCCCTTGAAAGTTGTGGCACAATATAATCCAGTTGTATTTGTTGCAAATTCAAACCAATAATTTTGCTGATAGAATCAAAATATAGCACTGAAAGATCTTGTGGCACAATCACACTGGAGCCAGAATTCAGTAACTAAAAACATTATGGAATGGAATGCTGGAAAAGCATGCTGGATACTGGCACTCAAGCTCTAACTCGGCTTCCAAAATCCTTATATTCAAGGAACTACCACAAGTGGGTTTTTTTAATAGAGTAAGGTTTGCCAAGGCAAGGTGTTCCAAAAAATACATGCATGTGCTAGGCCTTCTTAAAGCTCATAATATGTAACTATAGAAAAACAAATATTCAGAGATTAGTTGCATTTAAATCTGAAGAGTGAGGGTTACTACCAAAGATTATGCATTGGAATAGAATAGCCAGAAAGATGCTAGGAATATAGTTGGTGTTCCATCAAGTCAACGACCTATCCTTGATCTCAGAAAAGTCAATGAGACATTTGCAATCAACTTCCATGGGCGCAGGCTCAAAAGGTGTAAGTGCTATTATCTTTGTTGGCTGGATAATTTATTTGCAAAATTAGTAGACTGCCTTCAACAGAATGGGTTGAATTATTCATTGGGAATAAATTATCCGAGAAATTTAGGACTTCTTTCTGATTGCGAATGGTTCATGAACCAATTCTGATTCTGTGAATGCATTCGTTATTCAAAGTACTCAGTGAATAGATTATGCAAACAAATTTCAGCCTATGGGTTGTTTGTGAAACATTCACTTCAACTATTTGCTATTCATGGTATGTGGCTGATGCATAAGGCACATGGTATTTTCTCTGCTCTCTGATTGGATGACAAACTTTTTAAACAAGATAACAACGAATGACAAACTGCAAATGATGGATAAGGACTGATGAATAATGAACTTCCACCATATTTTTTCAGACAAATGATCAGTTGTGCTAAAATCTATGAGATCATAAACATTGTAACAAATCAATCAGTGCTCATTTGAATACACACAAACAAACAATATACTTCGATGAATAGCAGTGGAGTAAATGTAGTACAGTATGTTTATTAGCAAAAATAATCACAAATCTCTCTTTATTATTCAGTCACCTCTAATCTGCATGCTTTGCTAACTTTCTTCGGCCTAAACTGGAAACATTGTTGAAAATTTTCAGAGTAGCAGCCGTGTTAGTCTGTATCCGCAAAAAGAAGAACAGGAGTACTTGTGGCACCTTAGAGACTAACAAATTTATTAGAGCATAAGCTTTCGTGGACTACAGCCCACTTCTTCGGATTCATTGTTGAAAATATCTGACTGCTAGCTAAGCCTCAGTCCGGCAAACATTTAAGAACATGAGTAACTTGATGCAGTGGGGCTAATCATGTGCATAAAGTTACTCATTTGAGTAAGGGTTTGCAGAACAGGGGCTTAAAATTGTCCTTCTGATTGCAGGTCCAATTATTCTTCAGCCAAAAATTATACCTATTCTTTCAGAAAGGCAAGTCCAATGGCCTTATTTTATATTACATTATATATCTAAGGTCTGTTGCAAGAAAAATAAATACTAATCTACTTAGGTTGCTATACTATATGAAGAGCTGTCTATAAATTCAGGCTAGCTAACTTTTATCACCTAAGGCTTTTCTTTGTGAACGATCTTTTTAGTTTAAAGAATACCCTTTATGACATTTTGCTGGTTGTCTATTGATAATCTCCAAAGAAAGAGCAAACAGAAACTGCAGAAGGAATAGCCTTGTAAACAAGAGAAATGCCTTTCATTTTTGAACCTGAAAATATTTGCTATGAACACATATCTGACAAAGTACAAATAGAAAAATAACTTTGGATTGTCAGTTTTTCCTGCTTCCCGGAGACATGGGAGCAAATCACAAAAAGGAGTTGTGGATGAGAAGATTCTAAATTTAAAATTAGGGGGAAATTATTAGGTCAATGACTTGTAACATGAATTTAAGCATAACAAAGGCCTAAGAGTGACTAATGATTTGGAGTGCGAAAACATTAAAGAGTTTGATTTTCAGCCAGTGCTGACTACCTGCCCTCTGAAAACCTGGCCTCTTTCGGGCAATTAAATTGGGCAAGAAAAAAAATAAACCATCCAATGTTACAAGTCATTTGTGAAAATTTACAGCCAAAATTATATGTTTTAGTAGAAAATGGGTATTTAATAAAAGTATATAGTGTATAAGGGTCTGAAGGGTAGCTAAGAAAATAAAAGTAACCCTGTGTTAAAGGAACCATCATTAAGTCTCTTTAGTCAGAAAAAATAGGTTGATATGTATACATACATATATGTCTATGTATATATAGGTTAATAAAATAAATGGAATCTGGAATTTCTAGCATTCTGAGCTCCTAAAAACTTTAGCTAAACACCAAATATGACAAAAAAAAGGGCACGCCTAAACTCAAATCCAAAGTAAAGAAGAAGAAGAAACTACTTAAAGTTAGTGAAAGTTGTATCATCTCAGAGTATTTTCACTTGATTGGGGTTTGTGGAAGAGAATGCAAAGCTCTGCCTCAGTACAGGAACAGCTAAAAAAAAAAAAACAACCCTCAACAACCTCTCAACAAAAGCTTGTCAGATTTAAACCTGGCTCTCACTGAAAACCACACAAGTTTAATCCCTTCACAACTGAGACAAATCCAGGCTGCCCATTTCCTTTCAAATCACTGAATGATTTCAGTTTACTCCAAACCTCTGAATGTGAAAACCCAGGCCAACTGCCCTAAGTCAGCAGTTCAGGAGACATGAGAAACTGACTTTACCTGATAAATGTGCCTTGGGTTTATACACCTTTCCTTCAGTGTCTTTTATAGGGAGAGCTTTGTCTTGCCTTATCTCATGATGGCTTTGTCTTGTTCCACTATCTTATTCACTCTCCCCTAACACATGGGAATAGGCTTCAAGAAAGACTAGCAGAAACCCATTCCGGCTATAGAAGCTGCTGGGGATGTCCTGAAACATTATGTTTGAACCAGACGGTATCAGCTCCCCCCACTGTCAAAGGATCCTTTCGGGACTGTGCCTCTGCCCCTAAGGCTAATCACTTTGTTCCTCCTTTTTCCTTTTAATAGACTAATGAAGCTCAAACAAGTAGGCTTAGCCTAGTGATAGCTCACGTGTCTCAGATGCAGATCTCTCTTGCCATTGGCCAGCCGTAATTATAGGCACACTCCGGGGAGAGAACAGACACTTGGAGCATAAATTATGTAAATGAAGGAGAGTGTAGCACGGGGCAGACCTGATGCCTTGATTCATTCATCCCGCAAGGCCTGGGGGGCGAAGGGGGCTCTATTGTTTTACAGGGTATATAAGGAGTCTGAGGCCAGTCGTGTGCCAAACTCACGGCTCGCACGAGCTGATAGCAGCCGAGATCACTTCAAAGACAAGAGCAGTCGCGTGTCCCCACCCCCATCCCCCTTTTCTTGGGAGCCTCCAAGAGCTGAAGTTGGTCCTGACTTCGCTAACACTTGGAAACTTTCTCCCCCTCCCCTGGATTGCATCTCTGAGCCTTTGCACGTGAGTATGTGGGCCAAGCAGACAGACACGCCTCTCTCTAAATCCAGCTGCACCATGCAACACCGAGACACCCCAGAGAGCTGCTGTGTCTAGACAGAGCCAGATCGAGCCCTTTAATTTCTCCCTCTAGTCCGTTGATTGATTTCCCCCCCCCCCGATATAGTTATTTGTTGTTGTTTTTTAACCTTCTCGTTTTGGGATCCATTGCTCGCCCCGACTGGGGTTGATCCCGCTGTGAACTGTCCATCCTGCCCTCCCCCGAGCGCCAGGCACTCATGGCCCGTGTTCTCTCCCCGCAGGATGCCCTCTGCCCCGGAGACCCGCTACTCCGCCGCGGAGAACAGCGGCGACGTGTCCTCCTGTCTGGACAGCAGCCTGCGAGCCCGCGCCGAGCCCTCCCCGGGGCCGAGCCCGGAGGAGGAGCCGGGGCGCAAGCGGCGCCGGGGCCGCTGCCGGGCGCGGAACGAGGCGGCCCTGCACACGCTGCGGAAGAGCCGGCGGGTGAAGGCGAACGACCGGGAGCGGAACCGCATGCACAACCTCAACGCGGCGCTGGACGAGCTGCGCGGCGTCCTGCCCACCTTCCCCGAGGACACCAAGCTGACCAAGATCGAGACGCTGCGCTTCGCCTACAACTACATCTGGGCCCTCTCCGAAACCCTGCGCCTGGCCGACCAGCGCCTCCACAAAGCCCCGCCGCCGCCGCGGGACCTGCTGCTGCGGCCGGGCTACCTGAGCCCCGCCGCCCCGCCTAGCCCCGGCAGCGATGCGGGCTCCTGGCTCTCCACCGCCTCCTCCCTGTCCGCCTGCACGTCCAACCCCAGCAGCCCGGCCACCTCCGAGGACTATGGCTACGGCCCCCCCGAACCCCTCTTCGCCTGCCACGGCCTCCCCGGGGAGCTGCTGCGGAGCGGCCCGTGCTGCGCCCGGTACCCCCCGGCGGACGCCGCCGTGTGAGCCAGCCCATGTGCGGGCCTGCACCGCCCCCTAGGGTTTCACTTTCGGTTCAGCTGGGGTCGGGGCAGGGCCGGGGTTGGGGTGTGATGATGGGCGATGCAGGCAGAGAGCCAGGTCCCTCTGCAGCCAGCGGGCTATTGTCCGGGCAGGGCAGAGCGTGAGCTGCTCTTCCTTCCCAAGCCGCCCCCTGGCTCCAAAGGCAGCAGGAGCCAGCTCACATTGGGGTGGGGTTGGGGGGTGGGTTTTCTCCCTCCCCCCCCTTCCTTTGCACTTTTCTGAACTCCACAGACCCTCCTTTGTTGCTTCCCTTCCCACTGACCGGCGCCCCCGCTTCAATATGATTTAGAAAGGAGAAGAAAAGGGACAGATTTGCTGCTGCAGACGAGGTGAAAAGTCAATTTTACAATTTGTAGAACTCTAATGAAGAAAAATGAGCATGAAAATTTGGTTTGAACGCCCTGACAATACAATGAAAAGGCTTAAGGAGCTGATCCTGCCGGGTGCACAGCACCCCCTGCCGGGCGCTCAGCGCACACAACTGGCTTTGACTCCAATAACATCGGAGAGGGCTCAGCCTCGCCCCCAAGGCGTGCTTAGCTTAGCATCTGGCAGGATCAGCCCCTAAAGAGGCAAGACAAGGCGCTAGATTCATGCATTATGGATCTTGACCTCCAGCACTGCCGTCTCGCTTTAAGAGTAGGACTAAACACGGAGTATTCAGCAACTGGGCCTGGTATTCGTTTAATTTATTCAAGATGTTTCATTCATATGAAAATTGTATTTTTGTACATAAAGAGCTTTATTCTATTATGTCTGTGTTATCGGTTTTCACAAAGACATTTGTACTTGGTGTAAATAAAAATTTTAACGTTTATACTTAATTTCTTCAGTGCATTGATTTGATTTTTTTCAGATCTTTTTCTTCCACACAAGCAGCTCTGGATGGGGGAGGGAGCAGGGAGTTGGAAGGAAGTACTTTTAAAATGCCCAAGAAATTCTCTACCACAACAGTAACATCACAACTAAATGTTCAGCTATGCTCCATCCAGGAATCGTAGATCGGAGAATTTGGATACACCTCCCTGTATTGAACACAAATGTTGTCCCTTAAGGCTCACGCTAAGCCAAATTAAAAATTGATTGCATTGGTTTAGCTTCTAGTAAGCCACTACCTGCAGAGGTACAGGCACTAGAAGGAGAATTTCCTTTGGTGTAACAAAACATCAGCTGGCAACAGAGTTTCAAAGAAAAGGGATTAAAGGGATCAATAATATGTGACAGTTGGGCAGAAAGCAGAAAATGACAGGTGGATGCCCGAAGCAGTGGGTTTGAAGGCTCTGTTTTCAGCGGTATATCAGAAGAGCTTTAAGCTCTTAGGAGATTTGCACTTTTTTTTTGTCCAATGTGAATCCCCCAGGATTTGTAATATGGGAGACAGATACATATTCTTATTGCTATATATTCAGAAGGGTGTGTGTGTGTTTTTCCCTTTGGCCTTCCAAAGAGAACAGAATTCTTATTTGTCCTCACAAAGAAAAAGCTGCATTCTTCTCAAATCAGTCATCCTGACTCTGCAGGAGGCTTTTTGGCTGACACACGGTTATTTCTAAAACAGATAATTAACTTTCTTAAATAGGTTTGGTCACGGGAATAATTTATCTGTCAAATTTTTAAACTGGAGTAATTTCAGGACATCTGACATACCAGTAGCCCAGTGGTGTTCACTGTAGAGGGTTACAGATCTTGAAATTTTAAAAAAATCCATCCCTCTATTGTACTTTTAGACCCTTCTCTAAAGATCTCAAAGCCCCTTATACATTATAATGCATTAAACTTCACAATATCTTTAGGAAACAAGGAAGTATTATTATCCCTGTTATATCGTAAGATAAATGAAGGAACAGAGAAATTAAGGACCAGATTTTCACAAGGGCTTCAGCACACACAGTTGAGGCCAAACTTTTGAAAGACCAGAGCCCATTGAATGAAAATCTGGCCATAGTATTACAATGGGAGCTTCTGGGTGCTAAGGGTTTTGGAAAGGCTGGCCATTATGGAGGCACCTACATGAGAACTTAATTCTTTTGCAAATCTGACCCCAAGCGTCGGTGCTGAGCACGAGAAAATCAGGCCCACATTGACTTACCCAAGCGGGCATGCAGGGAGTTAGAGGAAGAGACTGGAGTACAATACAGAGACATTCGTATAAAGTGCAAATATGTTATCCACTATATTTTGTTTTGATTCTGCTCTCTCCACCCACTAGACCCTCCGTATAAAACCATGGTATGTAACTTCTATTATAGAATTGCTCAGAAGATTGGATCAAACACGATTTAGTGGATAATTCTGATTTTTTTTTTTACTAGATTATGGATTTATTTGAGCAACATCAAAATAGTTCTTACAGGGCAAGGTTCATTTTCCTTTGTTTATGCCGCAGACCGTGTTTGAGAAGACTCTGTGTTTGAAAGCAGAACAAATGAAAGAAAGTTTGGCCCTAGGACTTGAGCATAAAATGGATCAATTCCTATTTGGAAACCGGAGGAATAAATTTATGGGTTTGGAAATTATTTCCGCTTTCACCCTCTATGTGCTTTAATAGCAAACATAGGGTGTGCGCGGCCGGACGTTCAGCTCTCATTATGCAGAAGGGCTCTTGGAAGGGAGTCAGCTCAGCCTTTTGCTTTGTAGCTTATTCCATTTCTATAGGGTAAATCCTCTATTTGTGACTCCAGCAAGGGGTCTCTCCAATCCTGCTGTAGGTGCACGTGTCTGGGATAGAACACTGGCTTTTCTTCCTCTAAGCCCTCAGGAGACGCACCAGGAAACAAATTCCAAAAACACACTAGCATCCTGGTCCAAGCAGCACGCAGGGCGATTGCTTTTCAGTAGACAGCTGTATGCAGCACTGAATGAAACAGGGAGACCAGGTTGATTATTGCCATTGCATAGAAGGAAGTATTCAAATATAGCTATTCCTAAGTGTATCATAACAACAGGCTTGCAGCTCTGGTTAGATGTGATGATGCTAAACCCATAGCTTAAGGAGAGCTTTACTGGCATTGGATGTCACTTTTTCTGTAGTTAAGACTAAATCAACCAAAAGAGGTGGGCGAGATTCCTCTTCTGTGGAGAATGAAAGGCGAAACAATACATTCGGCTGATTCTGCAACAGCAGACGCAGAACTATTGTGCTCTCAGCTAGAGACTGTTTGATACTGAGTGAGGCTGTTCCCCCTCCACAGTCTCTGCTCCACCGGGGTGTGAAGATAATTGGTTGTGCAAATCTACCCTTTGCGTCTCCTATATTTGAGTGTGTATGGTGGTGGGGCGGGGAGGACGGAAGAAGGGAGATTTCCAGATGAGGGAGGGTAACCCAAAACTCTACTTTGACCTGCTTCTTTTCTTCATGCTCCCCTCACCCCTTCAGTGGGGGAGAATAATAATAAAGATACTCCTTAGCACTTATACAAAGCTTGGCTTGAACGTATTCCAAAAGTGAGATGATCTCGTTGTTCCCATTTTACAGATGGGGAAGTTGAGATGACTTGCCCAAGGACAATCACCAATGAGGAACAGAACCCTCGTCTTCTATGTGCAACCCTGTACCTTATCCATAGCCCAGTATCCTCTTACTGCTGGGCTCTGGGGAGAAGATGGGAATTCTGTAGTTGGAATCATTTCTTTTTTGAGTGGAATTATTTTGGGTGTTTTTAGTTCATCAGCAACCAGAGACCCATTGGCTTCCAGGGGTCACATGGTGTTGGTTCTGGTACTCCAATGGGGTAAGCCTACCCTATCCATGAAAGAGTGCTCTTATAAAGTCATTTTCACTCATTGGAGTAGATTCTCCATTGTACGAATGTCCTTTTTTGTTTGGAATGGCACCAGAATATGATCTCTCTGTGCCTCAGTTCTCCATCTGTAAAATGGGGATAATGCCACGCCTTCACCTCAGAGGGGTGTTGGGAAGATAAATTCATTAAAAGTTTGTGGCGCACTCCGATAGTATAGTGATGAGCACCATAAAAAAAGCCCATGAAGAAATTAATAATTCCACCTTCAGAGCAGGGTTTGGATGGTGTGCAGTAAATAAGGCCTGGGGCCACGTATTGAACAACAAGGATAAACAAAATATTACATAGCTGCTCATTAAATGAGCACCACCCTGCATGTGCACTGAACAGGGCAAAGATTCTGTGGAAAAAATCGTATGTGATCAAATAATTAAAGACTCTATCATAATCCAAAAACAAGGGAGGGAAATTAAAGTAACACAAGCAACCTTAATTCTGGCATTTCCTAACTTCTGAGTGCTTGATTTTGCAACTTAAATACTGTTCTTTTAATGTAGGTTTTGTGTATGTAAGTGTGTGTGTGTATATATATACATACACACACACACACACATATAAACACACATAAATGCAAGTGTGTGTATTCATGTACATACACCAATAGCAGCATTATGCTTATATAAAAGTATATGCGTGCTGTATATGCAAGTCCCTTCATGATGTCTTGCTGAATAAAAAGGTTGTGCAAAATTTAATTCTGGAGGCAGTAACAGGTTTTGGTCTATGAAGCAGCGAAGATTTTTTTGCACCTGCCCTTAAAAGCTGGGAGGTTTTGTATGGAGTAGCCTCCGGGGGCTGAAATTTAGTACAACTCATGGAGATGGAAGGTCATCTAAAGTCACTGGGTCCCAAGACACAGGACTTCAATCTCAAAGGAAAAAAAGATGAAACTTCAAAACACCTCTATTCTTTGTATTTTCTTAACTGTGAGCAGACATCGACGGACATAATGCAATATATAAAGGCAATATAGCCATCAGCGTTCAGGCTGTGATGTTAATGTTCCTAATAGGTAATGGGACCTGCATATTCCATGAGGATTCAATTAACATTAACATGAATCAGAGAATGGTTCTTTCTAGAGTTTTAATAGGTTTGGACATACCTGAGGAAATCTATAGATCTATCAAATGAAATGCCTATATCCAGAAACTGGCTCTAACAAGTTGCCTTTACAATAGCAGTCTTTGTATTGATTTTATGAAGTTAACAGTTTGGGGAATTGATAAAGAGTTGGATTACATCCCAAATTCCAGCAGGTAATTGGTGATCAGAAAATTGTAAATAAAATAAAAACCTCTTCACACGCCTTGCAAGGGAGAGAAAATGCTTCATATTAATATTTAATAGTGGAGCTGGTAAAATATTATGTAAAAGTAATTTCTGAATGTTTTCATCAATAAGGGACTGATCTAGCTCTCGGTGAAGTCCACTGAAAGACCCCCATTGACTTCAGTTGGAGTTAGGTATGGCCTGAAGATCACAGAGTGTGGTTGGATTTTCATCACCGTACCATATGATTTGCTTTTTACATGTAGCCAGACAACTCCTGGTTAACCACTTTGCTCATTGGAACAAAGGTAGTTTAGCTTTAGGGCTCAGTGCCCTGAGTTGCTTTGTCCCGTCAACTCTCGTTTTAGTCAACAGCACTTAAGTGAGGAAGCGAGGCAGGATGGTCCAGTGGATGGGGTGCTAGGTTGAGGTTTGGAGACCTGGGGTCAATTCCCTCCTCCAGCACAGACTTCCTGTGAAACTTCAGCCAAGTCACTTAGCTTCTCTGTGCCTCAAGGTCCCAGCTGTAAAATGAGGGTAGGAGCACAGCCCTACTTCAGAGGGGTGTTATTCAGATAAATAGTCAACTGTTGTTGGTGCTGAGATACAATGGTAATGAGGGCCATAAAGTACCCTCAAAGGAAGTGTCAGGCACCTCAGAAAACTGGGTCTTTATATCTTAACCATAGCTAGAACCCTAACATTGCTTTCTAGCAGCATTATTGTCCAGGCCTCTGTACTAATATGAA